ATATATATATATATATATACACAAACACTGTCCTTTTAGTTGAATTTTCCCCAATAACAGCCAAACCGTAGGAATAAACAATACATCTTATTTCTTTCAAAGCATTAACATTCCACACAGCTTATAAAACCACCAGTGAAAAAATATTTGTTTTTCGCTCACATTTGATGCATATTTGTCCTCAAATGTGTCCAAATTACCTATTCAAAATGGCCGACCGGAAGTCTTTTTATCCAAATAATTTTGCTTCTCCTAGCCACAAAAATCCCTCTTCCATGTCTTGAAGCACTCGAAACACTTAATAACAAATATATTTTCATCTTATCAGCAGGTTTAGTCAGCTAACTGGACAAAAAACGGTGGAAAACAATGTTTTCCTGTAAGTGTTAGCTGCCTTCCTTAGCATTGTAACACTGCAGAAACATGGCCGCCTCCACTGTGTTATCATCTTCCATGACTAAAAAAGTTCCCACCCACTCTTTATATATATCAAATGAAAGATACGGTGATTGGCTACACAGCTGTAGCATCAGAACGAAGCTCGGAGCTGATTGGCAGATTTTACAGTCAATCAAAGCTAGAAAGACGAAAACCGGAAGTTGGTCACTACTGTGGTTTTATTGGCCCTAGACAGCCGAAACTTGAACCCAGTTGGCCAAATGAGGTGTCAATTGAAAGAGGAGGGACTAGACGTCAAGTTTGATGCATTGAACACGGCCACAGGCGGAACAGGAAACAGACATTATACTTCAAAATAAAACAAATACAAAACAGCACGCAGTCGTTCCGCTGAATGTTAACAGTCTGAGCTTAATTAGCTCAGAATTGTTGAACAAAAACCTAAAAGAATGAGACACTGAGCAAGGGGAAGCCTGAAAAGATAAATCACCAGGAGAGTTGGGAAACATGATTTGTCTTTAATTAAAACTTAAAGGTTTCTTCTTGCAGACGGCAACAGCTGCTCTCCCAGGGCCGCTCCAATTACAGATTGAGACAAAAGCATGGAGTCTTGGAAAAACCACACGTTAGATGTGGAGAAAGATGCAGAGAGGCGACGTTGCAGAGTTTTTGGTGTGAGACACATGTGGAATGGAGGGCCGTATGCGGACAACACGTTGGTGTCTGTTTCCCTGTTTTTTCACACGAGTGTGAGTCAACAGGTTGTTCATTTGTGAGTCTGTAAAAGTTGGGCCAGCAGCAGGAGGCAGGGTAGGATTTTACAGGAGACACACGTGTGAGTGTGTGAGTTCCAGATGGAAAAAGGAAAAAAGGGCGTCCCTCTGATGGTCCCTCCCCAGCCCTGCCCCGTATCCTGTATCAGATCCCAAAACTGGAACCTCAGTCAGTCTCTTCTGAATGGAGAGTGTTTAATGTCAGAGTGGAGGACTAAACTTTGAGCAACAGCGTTATGGAAGCTCTGCATCCAGTCCTGGTTGGTGCCCTGCTGACCCTGCTGATCTGCCTCCCCAGTCCTGGTTTTGGAGGTAGGTGCTGCTGTAAATCAGTCTCTTAAGTGTCCTCTTCCTTTCTCCCAATCCTCCTTCTTCTGCAGACTTCTGTCACTTTCTGTTAGAGATGCACAAGCGGAGATCAAATCACTGTCTCTGTTTGGCACTGGCTCATAAATCAGAGCAAGCTGGTGGAGTCATGTCTCCACCTTAGACTAAACTTTAAATTTTACAGGTAAAAATGTTCACTTTTCCTATAAATGTGCTTATATGTTATTCATATTCACAGCAGATGTGATTCATTGTGATGAGATGTTCTTTTCCTAGGATGAAATTCATTGAGTTTGGGAAAATATGTGGCATGGTCTGACCTCTGAGACAACATCTGCCAGGTTTTCATTTGATGCCCGGTTTTTATTTTTGTTGGGGTGGGGGAGTGAACCATGCCGCATTTAAGAGTGTATTTTTTCTTCAGAATGTTTGCTCTGAAAGTATGCTGCCAAAAGGCTGAAGGTGGTGAAGTCAAAGCTCTGAGAGCTAAGGTCCCTCTCTGCAATGAATGGCTCTTTGACATGAGGTGGGGCAGGGCTGCTCCTTATTCACCCAGAGAGAAGAGATGAAAGTAAGTGAGAGAGTGTGGGGCTAGTAAATGTGTCAGAGAGGCAGTATGGGTAGGGAAGGTGCCTGCTGGAGGGCCAAGACCATTACAATGGTCCCATAGAAGTCATGTGAAGCCCCTAAATGTCAAATGTCAGGCCTATAAATCTAACTGGGCTGCATGGTTTGAGGAGGGTGTAGTCGTCCCCAAATTTGGAGTTGTAGCTCCAGTTTGGATGGAGAAACACCAAATGTTGGGACCTAAGATCTATAAAACATTAGCTTTAAAAACAATTGTCAATTCACAATAAATAAATAGAAAATTACATTGAGGCTCTTTGTTAAATGACTTAACAGTAGCTGAGTTTCCATTGATAATGAAAATGCACAAATTAGAATTTCAAAAATAAATTTGCTCAATGGAAACACGTCAGTTTTGAAAAAAAGTATGTTTTTTTACAAAATGTTTTTGCGCTACGATGAGGTGGTTTTTTTCGGCTGTTTTGAAATTGGTGTTTTTCACAAAACTGCAATGAAAACACTTTTTTCACATCACAGGAGTCACGTGATCAACAACCGTCTGTTTCTACTGGTGAAAAAGACGATGATGAAGAAGATAACAGGAAGTAGAAGTAGTAGTAATATCACAGAAGTAGTATAAAGTAGTAAACTCACCGACTACAATTTCCCAAAAACACAGCATACAGTGGGGAAAATAAGTATTTAGTCAGTCACCAATTGTGCAAGTTCTCCCACTTAAAAAGATGAGAGA